CGCCTTTCGTGTACCACGGGACAAGCAGCGGTGCACGTGGAGGAAAGAGGTGGACTTGCCTGACCCGGATCATTTCTTCCTCAATTCACGCCTGGGTTTGGCAACGTCTTGGCTGCGCCGCTGGCGGTACAGAATGTTTGCGCACAGAGCCAGCTTTCAGGGAGAAGGGGCGCTGCTGCGACTTACAAACACCAACGTCCGCTACCACATCCGCCATCAGCTTCGAGACGGTTGGGTGCGGGAGATCCTCTGCCGGCGAGCTGTTGAAGCTGGTGCTGCCGTGTCTGATGGTTTGCGCAAGAGTGTCTTGAATGCGTCCATTGAGACGCTGATTGCAACCAATTGGGCTTGGTACGAGCCACTGATGTTTGCAAGGCGGGGCTGGCACCTCTGCTTTATGTTCTATAATGGCACGTTCACCCACTCTTCTCCTTGCTTTCAATGGGCCCCTGCTCCCTCTCTGTTTCGTAGTGATAGCACCGCAGTTTGTGTCATGTCATTCGCCACGTGCCCTTGATGCCAGGCGCCGGGCACAGATGGAAGCTGCAGGAGACAGGCAGGATATCCTGGCTATTGACGGGAACTGCAAGCTCCACAGACGCACGTGTGGAATGCCTTTTGCAGAAGTGATCGCTTCCCCGTACTTGAACAAACTTTTGCTGCGAGGCTGCAGCGCAATGCCCCATGGTCGAGACACTCTTTGCTGCAAGCATGCAGGTGACAGGGACCGCCCACAACAGCCAAGGGCAGGGGAGACATCGGCTCAAGAGAGCGCTTCACAGTCAGGGAGATGCGTGTCACCTGGAAATCCAAATGCAAGGCCATGGTGGCTGGCAGCCGGCGTGCACAGTCAAAGAGGAGGCCTTGGCCAAGTACTTTGCCTCCCAAGCTGACAGAAACATCAGGAGAAGGAAGGGAGCGGAGAGTTGAGGCTCGCAGTCAGAAGTGGGCAGGATTTCGGCCGCGCCGGGCAAGAACTTTTTTAGCCCCTTGGCATTCGATTCAACCTCGGCAGACTAGCACCTGCAGCACCCACAAGGAATCGGCCAAGGATGTCCATGCGGCAAGCAAGGACTGCTGGATTTTTGTTTGCTGTCACAGAGTCTGGCCTCCTGCTGGACGTGATGGAGCTTATCGGAGCTGAGTCCCTCTCGCAGCGTTACCACTTCACTGCGCAATGTGCGCACAGACTGCCTTCGTTGAGATGCATCGTTCACGATGACAGCTGCCACCTGAAAGCCATGTGCCTGCGGCAGCGTGAGGGTTCTCCGCTCGCAGAAAGATTGGCCAACTTTGAGCGGGTGGTGCAAGGAGGTTTGCCTCCCAAGCCTGCAGCAGAACAAAGACATTTTGAGTGGCTTCCCAACAGAAATAGCTGAAACGGTGAACTCACAATTCAGTCCTTTGGGCCACTGTTTCCACCACTACGGGCCTTGGTTTTCTCAGTTGGCCCTGCAAGAGCTAGCAGATGTCCACAACCTTGTCCGACTTCAAGCGCTGCAGGACAAGATGCGGGGCGCAGAGAAGAAGCGCAGGCGAGAAAGTGCAGCTGAGGCTGCTGGTAGGTGAAGTATGTTTGCATTTTGGCGCTGGCGGGAAAAGACTACAGTGCGCTTTGTCTTCTTTCATGCTGTTTCATGTAGCAGACAGGATCATGGCTGGCGTTTACGCTCCTCGAGCTTCAAAAAAAAGGCTGTGTTGATATGTTGATTCATGCGGCTGGCATAGATCCTTGCTCTTTGTTCATGTCGCAGCGCTCCCGGGTTCTGGGCAAACAGGAGAGCAAACGCACACACACTCACACAGTATGATATTTGTTCTGAATGTGCGCGTAAACTGATAGCGCTTCAGTCCTACACTGTCATTTCACAGGGGCACCCAACCATGCCGACGCACAGCCCGGAAGAGCTGAGTCACAAGGCAGTGGATGCTTTGTGGAGGGCTGCTTTAGATGTGGTGAAGGACAACTTCAATGCTGCAGAACATCTCCCCAAGAAAGTTTACGAGTTTCTTCTGCCCATCGCTGCCTCCACTTGCCAAGGAATGTTTTCCACCGTGATGATGTTTGCGGGGGGCAATGCCTGCCTTGTCGAATGGCGCCAGCGTGCGTCTTTGGAGCCAAAAACCAAGTCCCTTGATGTTGCTGGTCCTGCACATGGCGCCCCCTCAACGAGGAAAATCTCGCTTGTTCCAAGCTGTTGAACTCCTTTTTGAAACTGCTGATGACTTTGTGGCAAAGCTCGCCAAAAAGGCAGCAGATGAGCTCGCCACCAAACTGGCGCCTCCACTAGAAGGTTATCTACCGCCGTCAGAGATGCAAGTCAGCACCAAGTCAATTTCGTTGCAGAGCTTCACGATGACGGAGTTCTTCTACAGGCGCTCCGTGGAGTTCCCGCAGGTGGAGATTGGCGGGAAAAAGGAAAAGACAACTTCCAGGTTGTGGTACTGGCAAGCGTTCAACCTAGACGGGTGCTACGAGTTCCTAGAGAACATAGGGCTGCTGGGTTCCCGCCATGACCGAGACAAAACGTCTGGCGCCGTGAATACTCACGCAAGCACGTTGAACACGCTTGCGCAGCGCGGCAAAACAAAGCGGGCCACGAGAACATCCACCTCCTACGAGAGCTCACGGGCTCAGCACATTGCCTTGTCACTCCTTGGCAATGGCCATCCAGCAAGGCTCATCAGCATGGAGCGGGGCCTGGAAGGTGGACACACTGCAGCTACAAGGGAAAGGTTTCTCTTTGCTGTGGATGTGTCTGTGGCAAGGCACGATAAAGTGCCCAAAGACCTTTTGGAAACAAATGGTGATGTACCAGCCTGGACCTGGTTGCCTTTGACCCCGCTGCAAGCGACCATCTTCCGGTGGACTAGCTTGCTGAACAACCCCAAGCATTTTGAAGGGGTCGAGAAGCCAGAGGTGAGGTCGAGAGTTCGTTACATCGAAGAAGCCGATTCTAGAGGCTCCTCGGCTCACGTTGCATTTTTTCTTTTCATGTGAGCAAAGAGACAACAGCTTTGCCTCCAGCTACATTGAATCAAGCGTTTTCCGGTCAGCTGCGCACCCTACCGGTGCGGGGTGGGGTTGTTTCCTTCATGTTGCTTGTGTGCCGCAGCCACAGCTGAGGTGAGACGGTGGTGGTGCGGACTGAGTGGCGGATTAGTGGGCGGTGGCTTGTCAAGGACCAGACAGAACACATCTGCGCTGGAGCGCGCAGGGTCTGTGAGCACTTCGAGAAGCGGCCGCATTCAGTTTTGACTATCCGAGATGAAGCGCAGAAACTGTTGCTGGGAGCCTTGACTGCATATATTGCCTGGGAGCTTTGGACTTTCTTTTTTGTTGTGATTCGCGCGCTTGCGCGCCGGTTTTTCTCACAGACACGCAGGAAACCAAGTGGCACAATCCATCCGTGCGTCTGGCAAGGAGAGCACACCGTTGGAGGCCTTGCACGCAAACGCTGCTCACATGCAAGGCATGCTGAGCGCAAGTGTCGCCATCTTGGAGTTGGCTGGTGGTGGGGGCACCTTTGACACCGATGGAAATTTGGAAATTACTGAGGACCATGCGCAGGCACCCTGTCTGCAGGGACACTGGCTATAGGGTTGAGGAAGATAACTTCTAGAACGTTCAGTCCTGTTTGCTAAGCAAACTATAGAGTTGCTCCCCTTGACAGGTGGCTGCGCGGCTTGTCGAGCTCAGCGTTCAAGTCCGGGAAGTGTTGCGGGGCCCATTGGATCCTGCCACAGCTGCCAGCTCGGACGAGTCCGACAATGAACCTTTCCAGCCCGTGCAAGTGCCTTGCCCCCCCACAATCTTTCGCTGCTCCTGCGCCTACGCAACCACCTCCTGCTCATCTTCCAGGTGAACGCCAGGGGCCACGTGGAGACGCGCAAGCGGTCGCTGTAGCAGCGTTGGAAAACATCGAAGAGCACACGCTTGTGCCAGTGCCTCTTGGGCCTTTCCCAGAAGCCGAATGTCATGAGGAGGTGGAGCCGACATGAACGCTGTGCCATGCACAACGTTTTTCGCTTGCTTCAGTCCAATGTTCTTGCCAAAATCCCGCAAGCGTGTGAACATGTTCTTCTTTGGTGTCTTGCCCGCTCGAGGTGCTTCCCCACGAGATTGTCCCACTGAAGCTGTCCGACTTGGACCCGAAGGACATTTTCTTCCAGAAAGGCTTGGGCGACAACGGCTCGATGCTCCTCTCCTCCCAGGATGGCATTCTCAAAGACCGCGAGCTTGTCCAGAAACTGCTGCTGTTGGGGCGCAGCGAGATCAAAATGTCCAAGGTGGTTGACTCGTACCATGTGGTGCAGCAAGTCCAGGGCAAGCGAGGGAAAGCCCGGCCCAGTCAGGGGAATGTTCTTCAGATATTTTCAAAAGAATTTGCTTGTTCGTGTCTTTTCTTTGGTCGCTGTGGCTTTCTGTGGCCTACATATGCCCTAACTATCCCTAACTTGCTTGCACTTGACTTGTTCTCCCAGTCGCAAGGCTTTGCAAGTCTTGACAAAAGCTTTTGAGCTATTTCCACGTCTTGGTTACATTTTGCAGCCCGCTGGAGGAAGAGCGGGTGACACTATGGTGGTCTTCCGTGCTTGGTCTTCTAACACAGGCAACCAGACTCAATACCACAACGAAGCCATGAGGTGCTGCAGGCTCAGCATCCGGGACATCTCAAAGCGGCGGGCTTTGTGGAATGACCGCTCTGGTGGAGAGCAGAAGCCTCCTGCAAATTCTGGCGCTGAAGAGACGCCGAATGCTTCCGCAAGGGCTCCTTCGCCCCGTGCATCTTCTGATGTGAGGGCACCTATGCCTTCCACGCCGCCGACTGGCCGATAGTGCACGATGATTGACTCGAAACATTATAGCTGCAAAAAAGGAAAATGGGCCGCTGGCTGAGGGACCCGGTCGGCCGGTCGACCGGTCGACCGACCACTTATCTGTACATGGCTTGCGCAGGCCGCGCGCACATACACGAGCCAAGCGTGTTATGTATAGTTGGTTTCTGCTTGCGCCTGAGTTTGAAGCCCCACCTTCTATCAGCAAGCTGCCCAGGACGCAATCAATCATCATGCAGGAGCAGAGATAGGCCGGGGGTCCGGGGTATGAATCAGGTGGCCACCGCCTAGTCCATCCACCATGCGGCAAGAAGGAATGTGAAATCACCCTTGAATTCAATGCAAAAGCGCTTACCACGGGGTTGGCTGACACCACACATGGATCATTCCGCCCGCCGGCCACCGGCAGTACCCGCCCATCCATGGATCTTCCCAGCGACCGGCCACCGGCCAACGACCACCGGCCACCGGCCAACGGCCACCGGCCAACGGCCACCGGCCAACGGCCACCGGCCACCAGCGTGCACCGCCACGGCCACGGCCACCGGCCACCGGCCACCGGCCACCGGCCACCGGCCAGCCAACGACCCACCGGCCACCGGCCAGCGGCCACCGGCCACCAGCGTGCACCGCCACGGCCACCGGCCACCGGCCAGCGGCCAGCGGCCACGGCCACCGGCCACACCGATAAATCGACTATCGCCGCCCCCGCCGTCCTGGCTGACCTCACGCAGGACGCGCGCTTGCTCCAGTGTACATAGTTCCCGGACCGGCTCCCCGTCTCACCTCGTCGCCGCTGCTCTGGAAGAGACATCTACGGCTTTTGACTCCCTGCCACCCTAAATCCAAGTGGCCCGGCACTTGGTCGGCGGAAGCTGTGAGTGAGACTCCGGAACCCCCCCATCTGACCTTCATGCGGGCGAGAAAATCAAATCTAAACAGGAAAAGAAAATAAACACTTTCTTCCAGGCCACAAGTTTGAATGCCCAAGGTCTCTCAGTGCATAGCACACGTATAGGCAGAGAAACAAAATGCAGAAAATGAAACTTGGCCAAGACTGCTCATTCTGCATCTCTCGCTCAAGAACCCTGTAGCCATTCAACGCACAGCTTGCACCTGCAGGATCTGAACTGTACGAAGGACTCAAGGCGCTCATTGCCAGCACTACGCGTAAGATCTGTTTTGAAACAGTGTGTGAAAAACCCAACTCGCGAATATTTCGAATTTGCTTGGAAAATGTTTCTCTGGGTTGAACTTTGTCAAAAACATCGTTTCCAACACGCTCATCGCAAGACATGTCGTAGACTCCGCACAAGTACATCAACATGCGCATCCTATCTCTATGTAATCTCTTTGTTCCAAGCTCTGCCACGTTCCAGCGTGTGGCAATGGTGCTCAAAAGGACTTCACCTGCTTTTACTTTTGTTTGTGCCCACAAACACCGAGTGGACAAATGTCGAACCTTTCCTACTCCTTGGCGACGCATGATTTGACGCGCAGCTGTGTTGTCCATGAAGTGTTTCAGTTTCAAATCACCTAGTTCACAACGAAACAAAAAACAAAGGCACTGCTTGATCAGGATCGCGTCGCATGTGGCGGAAACGCCACTATACAGTTCAGCCTCCGCTGAGCTTAAAGCTATGGTCCGTTGTTTGCGACTCGAAGAATGAATCAAGCAACCATGGAAAAACAAAGTTGATGCACCACCGATTTTTTAGTACCTTTGTGCGATGCCCAATCGCTGTCAGAGTACACCTCTAAAACAAGCTCAGAACCAGTATGGTGGAAAACGCCTTCATGGGGTTTGAAGGGAAGTTGAATACCTTGATCAACGCAACCTAAAAGGCATTGAACAAGGTGTCGAAGGAAAAGCATGTTCAGCTCACTAGGTTTGTTCATGTGTTGCGCTAACAGGCGGATCACATGTTGGCATTCCACAAAGTCAACAGAAATATACAGGAAAATACCGACTGCAGAACGAGAGCTCTTTGCTGAGGCGGCGTCCAACGCCGCAGACTCATCTGCTTCTTCCAACATTGCATGTCCAAGGACGTTCTTAGGTTTTACCTGTAGCAGCTCAAACAAACGGTTCAAATGTTTGGGATGATTCTGTATCAGAATTTCGGTTTCTGACTGCAAAATGTGGTTCTTCTTCAAAAAAACACAGTTCATCACCAACATTCCTCATAACCTCAATAGCCACTTTGTAGTGGCCCTCAAACACTGGCATCAACTTGTCTGACAGAAACTTTTCGTGCACAAAACACAAAATGTCCTCGCGGTCAAGAATTGCGGTGATGCTCTCATACCAGAGTTGTCTCCCATCGCGTTGACCAGAGGGGACTTTACCCAGCACAAATTGTTCTGATGTGCCTGCTGGGGTTGAACAAGTTACAACAGTGGGTATTTTCTGCTCAACGGTCAGGAAAGCATTTGCCACATCTATTGCCGCTAGAACAAACCCTTGCAAACGAAGCTTCAAAAACACGATTGGCAACAAACGAGTGGTCAGTGAACTTGACGCAGGCGAAATCAAATCTTCACGCTCTGGAGTCAGCCAAGCATACTCACGTGCCACATAGCGCGAACGACGCAACCACACATGCACACCATTCCTCTTTTTATCCCTCCATGCTCTGACAAAACGAGTGGTCAGAGCCTTTGGGGTCACTGAGGTATCGAACTCAAAAAGAGGCAGAAGCACTCCAAGACCTTTCAGACGTGCCATTTCAACCTTGCCTGCCAGTGCGTCCCATGCCAAGAGGGAAGGTTCATCAAGCTCGGGCTCCAACGGAGTATATGGCACACACAACTGGTCCAAGGCTGCTTCAACCTTGCTCGACGAGAGCACTTCCTTTTCTGCATCAGCTAGCACTTCGACATTTTCTTGCAATTCATATTCGTACTCTTCCAAAAGTTCAGTTTCTTCATTTTCAAACTCAAAGGAAACTACTTCGTCCTCATGCTCTAGAACATTTC